GTGTAGTTTCGAATTCTCTACTCTACATCTATTTTTTTAATCAATTAAAACTAGTCAATTTTGAGCTGATCACGAAGAAGAATATATAATTTAAGACGACCACAAACACATTGTCTCTTAACCTTTTTTTGGGAGGTCATATTAGCTTCAAACTTTTGAATTACCCAAATTTGTCCATTAATTTATCAAATTTTATATAAATTAGTCCCACTTTTATAATTAATTGCATTTCATACTTAATGCGTATAGATATCAATTCAATCCTGCATTAGCTCGATTATATTCATTTATCTCAATTAAAGGTCAATTCGACGCCAATTCGGCTCTTTCATAGTCCTATTGATATAATTTTCTACTTTTCCTTATTATTCAGGGTATATTTGTAAATAAATTTTAATGTTGAGCTGCAGCTTTACTGATAAAATGCAAATTGCATGTGGCAGGAGAGTACTATTGGCTAAGACTTGTTAGATTATATGTTTGGAAGTGAAAATGTGAACAATACATCCCTTCTGTTCTTAAATCACTTTGCAGAAAGTAAGATGCTGTAGAATCTAGTGTTGATGGCTGCTGTATTGATAGATTATTCTGCCAGTGTTGTGCTGTTTATAAATTTCAGTTTTGTGAGGTGTTTATGTGCAAATCTCACTAATTTCATTTTCTATTTCAATTTTCAACTCAATTTTTTCATTGATCATTAATTTCTTCGAAGATTTATATATATACCACTTAAAGCCACTTTACAACTGCATATATAAAGTTAAAATAATAGTATTATTGATATTATTTTAAAGATTTGGGTGGTATAATTGTAAAAATTAAAATTGAGGTGTCAGATGTGTAAATACCTAGGATTTAGGTGGTATGGATGTGTAGGGGTGTTGTCTATTTTTAAAAGATAGTAGAATTAATATTTAAGTTATTGTCTATTTAACAATTCAAAAAATATATACAATTTTGAAAATTTTCAAATATTTTGAACATTTCGAACATTTCGAATTCGAACGATTCGAATAATTCGAACAATTCCGAACAATTCGAACAATTCGAACAATTCCGAACAAATCCGAACACTTCGAACCGAACATGAACAGACCCTTCACGAACAATTTCGAACACGAGCCTATTTCAAACAAACTATATTTCAAACGAGCCGAACACGAACACGAGCACTGTTCGTTCGTGTTCGGTTCGTTTACACCCCTAGTTTGATCACGTCGACAATTACAGGATCTCTCACTTGCTCTCTCTCTTTTTACACTGAGATTCACCCAAGAGCAAGAACACCGAAGAAGAAGAAGAACTACGTAAAAGAGAAAAAAACTATTTCTTTTCTGTCACAAGCCAATAAGAAGAAATCAATACAAGCAACTATCTTCTTCCACCATATTCTTCTTCCTTCTGCCAAGCACGCAAAAACAACACCTTGTAAAAACACGTGTTACCCGCCCTCGCCTCTCTCTCTCCCACTTCCGCCTCTTCAATTTCACGTAAGAAAACACAACATTTTTCATATTCAAGTCAAGATTATTCAAAGTCTCGATTTCAACAATTTTATAATCAAACTATCTGCCTGGACAAGACGAACTTGATGATATCAAAATTAGTTCGATTTAGATTCAATGAAACCCATATAGCTAATGTTTTTTTTGAGATATTTGATTGTCAATTGAATAATCAAATGAACTCAATAGTTAGCATATTTATATTCAAATCAAATATCTCAATTGGAGAATTCCAACAAGCCTTAGATTTTTTAATTACTCACATATAGTGGATTATTTTGAATGGGTCGAAATTTATGATTTTTTCCATTTCCGAATTTTCTTTACTAAAAAATCATGGTATCTTCTCATGCTACTTTTTAGTTATCTGTTTGTATGTTAGAATGCTACTTTTTAGTTATATGTTTGTATGTTAGATCTTCGTACAACATCAATATGTTAAATTATCACTCTGGGTCTGCTTCGGGCAGCTGCAGCTTATCCAGCTTATCTAGATAAGATGTTGATCAACAACTAATCTAAATAAGTTGTTTGACTGTTGGTTTGTGCATTTTAAAAACTGCTGATTTTGGATGAATGATCATTCTGCCTTTATTTTGGATACTACAATTATTTAAGAGAGAAAAGATAAGTCAGAAAATTAATTAAAAAAAACTAATTCAATTTAAAAAAAATTAATAAAGAAAAATACCCAATTCAATTTTTTTTATAAGAATATAAATATGAAAGATTTATATACATGTCAATCAATTTCTATATATTTACAGATCTAACTCCAAATCATTTCCCCCTCCTTTCCAGCCTCCTCCTCCAACTCCATCCTTGCCCCCCTCCTCGACCTTTCCCTAGCCGAGTATGAGATGTTCATTTCCCCCCTCATTTTTGCATGCTCCTCCGGCTCTCTAAAACTCGCAAAGCCCGCGCTCGACTGCACCTACAAACATATTTCTCATTCCTACTTGCACGACGAGGCAGACCCCTCCTCCTCACCCAACGCGCAGCTCCTCGCCCGACTCATTGACGAGGCCTGCTCCTGCCAGTCGCACGCTGATGGAACGCTCGAGCTACTCATCATCAAGACCCTTCTCTCTGTCGTCACCTCCACCTCCCTCCACATCCATGACGACTCACTTCTCCGTCTAGCTTCCGAATTTAGCTTTGTACAGAGCTTCATCACAGATCATTAACGACATTGATGTCGTCCTTAACTCACCCACTCCATCCGCTGCTGTGGCGAGATGCGTTCGAAGGAAAATCAGGGCAATGACGTAAAAAATAGGAACGAAATGTGGCCCTCGTGTCTCACAAAATTAAAAAAGCAGTTTTAGATATGCGAAACATGCAATCGAGACGTTACGCTACGGTGGTGTTTTCAAAATGCCCCCCGCAGTCTTAAGCCGCCCCAAACGGGAGAAATATTTGCATACATAAGAAGTGCATAGAGTTGTGTTCGTCTAGTAGGTTAAAGGAAGAGTATTGGTGGTTCTATACATGTTATATCTCCTATAATCTCCCTGTAACAAGTAAGTTTCGCGCTTCTGTTTTCATATATTTGTAAGTTACAATTATATTACAAAGAGGTTACATGGGGTATAACGCAGATATAACCCTCAATACCCTCCCAGTAATCCCCCAGACGTACGCAGCGCTGCATACGTTTTACGTGCGTAAATATTTCTCCCCAAACAGGCCCGCTATCACTATAAATTTTCCAGCACGTAACAAATTTTATGATTAAATTTACTGGATATCTTTCAAAAAAAAAAAAATATAGGGGAATACTTAACTAAAAATTTAATCAGTAAAAAATCTTAAATTTTTTTTAATATACTTTCAAATGACTGTTGCATTTCATTTTAAAGCAGATCCAAGTGTTGAGATTTATTTAGACCACTTATTGATCGTAAAATTTTAATACCAAAAATTTAAGGAATAACTAATGCTGTTCCGGGCAATAATGCCATAACAACAAGCTCAACTTTGACGGATTTCACCATAAAATCAATTACATTCCAATTTTAACACAAATCAGAGCT